AATCGTTTGGTTTTCTTTTTCTCATCTCGATCCGACTTTGCATTGCCGGGATACAACCAATTTAGTTGTGACTTATGATTGTAATCATTAATTTTATCAACTTGACAAGGTCTAAGATAACCTAGTGCCCTGGCCCGTGGGGGATTTGACGAGAGCCTAGGGAAAGGGGCGAAAGAATGAAGGGACAAGAGACACAAAGAATGAGAGTTAGTCTGGGTTCTGATCAAGCTCTGAAACTTTAATTTTGGGGGCAGGTTATAAAGACACAGCAAACTGGGAAGTTTGGGCGAGGGTCATTGCTTAGGGCTATCTCACTATTAAATAATCATTGTCTAAGACCATCCCACTGTCATATCCTTATTGCTGTAGTCCATCCCATTGTTGTAACTGGCTCCCAGGAAATGCCAGACGTTCTTTAAGTTCCTGGGACCTGAGACCGGGAAATGTCCTTTCTTAACCTTGTATTGACTAGGTTTCCCAGAACAGCAGGTAATTTCCTGAGGTTCTCTTAGAACAGCAGGTAGTTTTGTGGGTTTGGCTCCCAGCAACCTAGTAGACAAACTTCTGGACATATCTGCAAGGGAACTTGTATATTAGGCTGAGCTGAGTAAGCAAACCCCTAATTAGGGCAGAGTATCTATGGCACGGTGTCCCAAACTGAGTATCTAGGAGAAAGTAAGCTGGGTGCCAGTGTTTCTTGCTTTGCTTTCTTGTTGTAGCAAACAGTAGCTACTTGTGAATGGAGATAGGAAAGCTTATTGTCTGTATCTTCTCTTTATCTGTATCTTATCTTCTCTTTGTCTGTATCTTACTGAGTTCTCCACTGTCCCACTGGACTGCAGTCACAAAACACAAGTTCAAAAGTAAGAATTTCTTTCAAAGTTAAGAATTTCAAGACATCAGGCCAGGTAGCTCAAGCCCCTGCAAGGTGGAGGCAGAAGGAGCACAAATTAAATGTCATTCTTAGCTACACCGTGAGTTTGAGGCTGCTCTGGGCATATTAGACCCAGTTTTGGGGGCTGGGGAATGTATTTCAAGGAGGTGGCAGCAGATTGTTAAATTCTGGTCCTGCTTATAGTTGTGTGCTTAGGGAATGGCCCTACATGGGAAATTCCTTTCTTGTCAAAGTCTCAAGTTCTTTCCCCGGAGGGTGTCTGAGGTGGGAGGAAGAGTCCTGCCATGTTATATTCTTCTGAAAATATCCTAATCTCTCAGGGTTGAAAAGGACGTCTACCTACCCAGTCTGGAGTTGGGAGTGCTGAGGAACACTGTTGGCAAGAGGAAAGAGAAGTGACTTTCTGGTAACTCTAGGGGAGCAGGCCACCACAAGCATATTCTAGCTTCTGGAAGTATTTGCAGGCCCTGTATACTGGACCACAGCACTAAGGGATCAGGGAAGACAGATGCCGGAGGCACAGAGAAACTTGTCTTCAGCTCACCACCATGGCATGGAGTCTTTTTTATCTAAGGTAGTATTCTGAAAAAGGAGACAATAACTACAAGGTCATGTGATGATGGTCATTCTTGGTTACTGACTTTATTGCAACCACAATCAACTAAAACTCAACTGCTGGACATTCCTGAGTCTTGATATTTGAAGTAAGAAGACCCATAAATCTGAATTACAAGAATAGCTTCAGGCATTCTCATACATGTTTTATGGCTCTTCCTCTAATATTGATATGTTACATGATCATTTTATAGCTGTAAAACTGAAGAAAACCAACACACACACATTGTTACTAACTAAGATATGGGCGTTTGGAATCTCATTTGGTTTTCTATTGTAGAATCCAATCTGAGTCATCGTGTTACATTTGGTCCTGTCTCTTTAGTTTTCTCTCATTTGTGACAGCTTCTTCATCTTTTCTGGTCAGGCATCTGTGCAAAGACTTTCAGTCTGGATTTTTTTTCTCTTTAAAGATTCATTTTGTCATTTTTAATTATATGTCAATGTGTGGGTCTGTGTGTAGGTATGTGTCTGAGTGAGCAAGTGTCCTTGGAGGCCAGAGGCTTCCAATCCCTGGAGCTGAAGTTACAGCTAATTGTGAACACTTGACACAGATGCTGGGAGTCAAACTCAGCTCCCTGCAGAAGACTGTGTGCTCTTGATCTCCCAAGACAAAGGCCTCCCAAGCCTTTGTCTGGATGTCTGATAAGGCTGGAGTTATGGAATTTTTTAATAGTGTTCTTGGTCTTATCAGGGGCACGTGACATCACTGTGACTTAGTGCTGGTGGGCTGACTGACTGCAACCACTTGATGAGGTGGTATCTGCCAAGTTTTTCCACCGCAAACCTAGTATTTTCTGCTTTTCATGTTCAAAATGTTAGAAATGAGTCATTACATGTAGCCTGGATCATTTAATACAGTCTGCATCCGAGGAGAGAAGGCTTAAGCTTCAGGAGGATTATGGAAATTTTGTGAACACGTGTTAAAACCACCACAATAATGAAGAACTGTTTAGGGAAGAGCCTCTGTGGTTCTGTGACCTTGCCTCCTGGTGTCACTCACTAATCTTATCGTCCGTCAGTGGGTTTCCTGACAGCAGTGTTCCGCGTGCCTAATGGCAATTTGTCTGTTTGCCTTGTCCTTTCTGCTCACAGTATTTGGACTTCACCTATAGCTCAGATACATCCTTTCCTTATAGTGGATTTACTTATTCACCCTTGGTATGGATTAATATATTTTGTGATTTATTATTCCATGACTACTAGTCAATGACCATTTGTTTTTCATTGCCTGTTAGCATAATGTTATTGTGTACTGTATAAAGATTATCTTTGTATGATTCAAATGATATCTACGCCCCCATATCTAGTTGTGATCAGAACATTCGCTGTAATGCTTAGTCTAAGAATCTCCTGTCTTAATGTTGTGTAAACATTGCTCCCTAGTTATCTCTGATTGGTCAATAAAAAGCTGATCAGTCAATGACTGGGCAGAGGAGAGAATAGGGCTGAACTTCCAATCCTAGCCTGTAGAGGAGAGAGAAGAAGAGAGGGCCTCCATAGGAGGAGGGTCCAGGGGTCTCCATGAGAACACACCTGGAGCAGAGAGAGCCAGAACAATACCAAAATGCAAGTATCTCAGGGACTTTGGCTGCCAGATTGGCTTAGAGGATTGGAATAGGTAAATATCTGTTCTGTTATCGTGCCTTAAAGCTTGTTGAAAAAATCTAATAGTCTCTGTCTCAATTACTTTAGAGCTAGCTGGGTTAGAGATAAACTGCCACTTTTAAATTTGCACTAACAATTGTCCAGGTTTTAGAACTGGGAACTCTGCAGCTGCCTCCTTTGGACATTCTTTCTCCCTGCCTCTCTTTCCCTTACTCCCTTTCTACTCTCTATCCTTCCTCCTTTTACAATATGCACAAGCAGCATTAGAAATGGCCACTTCGCCTTTTTTCCTTGGATTTTCAGATTGTTAAAAACAAAATGTTATCTTTAGAAAAAAGTAATAACGTAGCCAGGCGGTGGTGGCGCATGCCTTTAATCCCAGCCCTTGGGAGGCAGAGGCAGGCAGATCTCTGAGTTCGAGGCCAGCCTAGTCTACAGAGTAAGTTCCAGGACAGCCAGGGCTACACAGAGAAACCCTGTCTCAAAAAAAAAAAAAAAAAAGCCACTTCTCCAGCAAGTTCTTGTTCCTTTTCCTGGAGAGCAGTACTTGGGGACAAGGATCTGAGTGATCCGTGTGCTCAGGCTTCCTCAAGTGACATAGCCTAGGTTATGGGTCATCCAGGTGGACACACACTTCATCCATTCATTCATTAATAGAACTAATGAGAATAATAGATACTTTTCAAAAGGTGAAGTACAGATAGCCAATAAGCACATGAAAAAAGTGTTTACCATCACCAGCCATCAGAAAAATGCAAAGTAAAACCACACTGAGATTTTATCTGACCACAGTCAGTACTACACTGATTAAGAAAACAAATATTATGTTTGCTCTCCTTAGTAGGCCCTAGATTTTAAATAGGTACATAAAATCGTTTGTGTACAGATGACAGGAAAGCAGAAGTGAGACTGTCTAACAGAAGGCAATGGTCTGGTGAGAAGAAGAAATGAGACGGGAAAGTCGTGGGGAATAGGTGGATATTTCAGAGTACGTTCTATGCTTATATGAAAATAGCCATATGGAGAGGCCCACCCGCAGCCATGTGGTATGGGCAGGTGGAAGACACTCAAGAGGCCTTCCTTTAGTGGTGTGGCCTGCCCTCAGCGGGGTCCACTACAATGTACGAGTGTGTGGTGGTCAGATGGGAGAGAAAGAGAAGTGAAGCGGCTTGAACACTATGAAGAGAGGTGGAACTAGAGACACAAGGATGGAGAGGAATGGCATGTTGTAAATAGCCTGTCATGCCACCTGAAGCCATGGTGAAGTCTTGACCCATGCTGCTGCTGAAGGGCCAGGTCGGGGTTCGTGGCCATGTAGCAGTAGGGGGGTCTGTGTCGAGGTCCATGGCTCATATTATCACCAAAGATCATGCAGACATCCCTGCTCTGGGCTGTGGCCTAAGACCATGTTGGTGTCCAAGGACTGCACAGAGCTGGCTCTACCCCTCAGTGGCTGCCACACTCAGAAAGAGAGCACCTTGCCTAGGTAACACAGTAAAGCTGGTCCTGGAGGCATAGGCACAGGAGAGCTGGCCCTGCCCCTTGCCAGCTAAGCTCTCCATAGTGGGATAGAGAGCTGGCAGGCTGACCAACTCAGCTGCCACCCAGGTGCAGCTCCAGGGCTCTCAGTTGCTCCACCCCAAGATCTATGATCTTCTGGAGTGTGTGAAGTCCAGCCCCGCAGATCCAACACTACAGGATCTCCATGACAGGGCAATCACAGGATATCCAAAAGGAGTCCTGGCGAGGACCTGGTGTTAGTAGTGTGGCAGAATCCAGAGACCTCAAATCAGACCAGTGACTCATTGCAATGAACCTTTGCATAAGTAAAGATGTGTGGACAAAAGGGTGTGCTGCCGGACACACTACAGCTTCTACAGTGATTTTTTTAAATTTGTTTTTTATTTTCTTTTGCTGGGGATGTTGCAAGGGCTGAGGGCAGATAGAGAGGGATGGGGAGACGAATGGCATTGAGGTGCATGATGTGACTTCACAGAGAATCAAAAGTTAAAGAAAAAGAAAACGGCCATATATCACTCAGGCTAATAAAATAAAAACAGTTTAAAGGGAACCTGCCCCTCCTTATCTACAACAGGTTAACTTATTTGTACAACTCTAGTATAGGTTAAAAGTAGTTTCAATGTAAGGGTGAAATGGACAGCTCCTATGGCAGGATATCTGATTTGTAATCCACCAGCAGCGACAGGGCTCCTGTAGTTCTACACCCTTGCCAGCTCTTCTTAAGCTGGAAATTGCCCACCCTACCCCAGCCTGCTCCTCCTTTTGACCTGCCCAGGCCATAGAATAATCTACTCTCCTGCTTGGCAGGCAGCTGGAGTTTGTGATAGTGATTATTTCCTAACACGTCATGCTTCCACTCTAAGTGCTATGTGCCTCCCTGCCCCCAATGTCCCCATAACATAGTGTCACTAATTTTCTTCAGTTGGCCTGAGAGCTAACAGCAATCTTGATCAAGAAGAATTCTCTGGACTTCCTAAATTTTTGCTTTTCGGAAGACTGTTAGTGCCCTGTTTCTCTTGGGCCTCCTCAGCCTAACCAAGTGAGTCCCACGATGCTAGGGCATTCAGTCATCTTCACCAGATGTTTCAGTGGCTAAAGACCCAGCAGTGTAGGCCTCCTCACAAGGCTTTCCAGCTAAGTCACCTGGTGTTCCTTCATCAGAAGGATGCCGAGTGCCAGATCCCTGTTTCCAGTCCCTGCCTTCTAACTCGGCAACCAGCACATTCTCATAGTCACTAGATTCTTCACTTGACTGCTCTTCTCTATGGACCATGGCACTGTCCTTGCTCTGTGCAGACAGCTGAAATGCCATATAATACACTGAAGATAGGGTCCTCCAGACAGGATCCGAATGGTCTGTAGTTGACGATGTCACTTCTTCCAGAGTTTGCAGCTGGCTTTCATTGGTATCTACTGATGGGACATTTTCATAATCTCTGCAGCACTGAAAAGCTCCCCTGGGCTGATTCTCTTGGGTGTCCTCAAGATCCAACCCTGTCATATTAATGTAGTCATTTGAAGTCTGAGATGAGTTGTCACTGTCACTGAGTGAATCACTGCACTTGGGTCCTGGAGCCCACAAACCAGTGTGGTCAGTGGCATTCTCACAGCCTGCGTGCCCTCCTTTGGCAAACTCCAGCTGCTGGGCACTTGGAAGACCAAGGAGATATTCAGGAGTGCTTTCGGTGCGAGGTAGAGTCTCACTGGAGTCCTCTGCTGTGGGGATATTGACATAATCGTTTGACTCCTTGGAAGAAATGCTGGGGTTATTTCTGGAAGTTTTGACACACACGTGATGTGCAGAGGAGGCCAGGTGCCCACACATCTGGGGCACAGTGTCATTGTTGTAGATGCCTACTGTGTACTCCACAGCATGAACGGACACTCTATGCATCTGAAGGGAACTACTGGCTCGGGGGGCCTGTGAAGAAGAGAGAGTGACAGGATGAGAGCAGAGACAGGGACACAGCTGCTCTTCCTCTCCGCAGTGCCTGGCATTCTGGACCCTTCATTCTGTCCTGTGGCTTAGAGCTAAGCTCCAAGTCAGGGCTCACACTGTAAGTGTTTGAGTGCCAGGTCTGTCTGGGGGATGGATGAAGTGGGCTGAGAATAACAATAGCAATGCCAGGCCTGAGGCTCAGTGGTAGAGCGCCTGTAGCATGTACAAGGTCCCAGATCCAACCGTTAGTACTGCAGACACATTAAACAAAACAAAACAAACAAACAAACAAACAAACAAACAAACAGCAGCTGAAGTGAGATGTTAAATCACAACAGATTTGGGCTATGGTAGAGAGGGAGGACTCAATGGGGAGGACCATAAAATGCTTCTGAGAAAGTACGCTTCACCAAAGCACACAGGAGGGCCAATGCAGTATGGGCTAAAGATAGAGACTTAGATTCAGACTGGGAAGGCAATCCTAGCTTTGCCGCTTTGTGCTGAGTGAATCTAAAAGGCTTACCTTGGTGCCTTCACCTCCTACTCTATGGATTGAGGATCCATGTCTGTGTTAAAGGGTTTTTGCTTGTGGTAAAAGAATTACTATATACAATGTATTCAGAACAGTGTTAGCATATAGAAAACACTAAAAAAAGGAAGAATATTAGTTTCTAGGACACCAGAAATTTCAAGAAAAGCATATGCACCTTTAATAGGAAATCTACCCCTACTCCCCAACTTTTTTTTTTTTTTTTGAGACAAGGTCTTCCTCTGTGGTTTACAGTCATCTGGAATTTGCTAAATAGCCCAGGTTAGACAGCGATGGCCAATCCTGCTTTAGGCTTCTGAGTGCTTTTGCAGGAACAAACCTCCTCTAGTTTTTGTTTATTTTGTTTCTGTTGAGATCTGCCCCCCCAAGCATAGCTGTAGCCATTTTGTTCCATGCCTGACACAAGATGTTTTCTGACCTCCAGATTCACATGGTAACGTGAGCACACCCTCACACATGCACACACAAAATGAGCAAGATATAGCACGATTTCTTTCTTTTCCCCTCCAAGAGGGTTTCTCTGTGTAGCCATGGCTGTCCTGGAACTCACTATGTAAACTAGGATGCCCTCAAACCCAGAGATCAGCCTGCCTCTACCTTCCAATTGCTGGGATCAAAGGTGTGTGCCAGTATCGCCCAGCACAGATCTGGTTTTACAGCAAGTGAGTGTCATTGGCATACGTCCGGCCTAACTTTTAAGAAGAGACAAATAATGTTAATACAAAGTGGACTAGATGGAGTGGTGGGATCCTGGTCAAATTGATTTTAAACTGTACTGCATGATGCCTTGTGCCAGGTTACGACTGCATGAAAGCCTCATCAGCTGCATCCCTTGGCCTTGACTTTCCAGCCTCCAGAATGGGGAGCCAAATACATTTGCACTCATTATCTACTGCCCTGAGTGACCAGCATGCTCTCATTGACCAAATACACTCTACATCAGCTTCAGTGCTGAACAGCTTTTTGTTTTGTTTTGTTTTTTGCTTTGGTTTTTAGTTTTTGGTTTTTCAAGACAGGGTTTCTCTGTGTAGCCCTGGCTGTCCTGGAACTCACTCTGTAGACCAGGCTGGCCTCGAACTCAGAAATCCACCTGCCTCTGCCTCCCAAGTGCTGGGATTAAAGGCGTGCGTCACCACCACCCGGCAGTGCTGAATAGCTTATGGAAATCTCTGCTATTTAGGATGATTGAAATGGTTTGGCATAAACCCTAGAAGTAATTCCCAAAAGCAGGTTTTAGGAGCTGGAGAGTACACTCAGCAGACAAGAGAACTTGCTTTCAAGTCCTCTTTCAGAGGACCCAGGTTCAAGTCTCAGCACCTACATGGTAGTTGACAACCATCTGTAACTCCAATACCAAAGGATCCAACCATCTCTTCTGACCTCCCTGGGCAACAGGCACACACATGGTGCTGGTATATACATGCAGGTAAAACACTCACACATACAATAAAATAAATAAAAGTGTAAACATTTTTTTAAAGGATGGGTTTAAAGTGTGGTTTGAACACCGACAGCATTGTTGGTATAGCTATGGCATCCTGGAGTGACCACTCTGAATGAAGCAACATTTATTTGGATAAACAAATTGCCATGTCTTTATAAAAAGAATCACTTTCAGTTCTAAGATCGCATTACTTGAATGCATGTGCCTTTCTTCAAATCCTAAGTGCTGGCTTCTCACTGCACCTCTCTCTTGGCATGAATTCCCATATCATCTAGGTAGGCTTGGAACTCAATGTTCTTCAGACTAGCCTCTAAATGTCAACCTGCCCTCTGCCTCTGGAGTGCTGGGTTACAGGAATGTGTCACTATACCAGCCATAAGTTAAAATGTTACTTCTTTTCTTTCGAAAGTAGGAAGTTGTGCAGGATGTGTGCCAAATGCCACTCATCGGCTATAGAGCTAGCTCAAGCCCCGTTCCCCTCCGCTCCCGTTCCCCTCCGCTCCCGTTCCCCTCTGCTCCCGTTCCCCTCCACTTCCGTTCCCCTCTGCTCCCGTTCCCCTCTGCTCTCCTGCCATTCTCTTGGATCTCTATCTTTTCTCTTGGCTCCTACCTCAGGCTCAGGGCTGTCAGATGCTCTGGAGAGGAGGCTCTCGGTACTGAAACCACTTGACTGATGTCTCCCTGCAACAACAAAATGAATCCAGAAGACAATGGGCTTTAGGATGCTTCAGTCCCAACTATCTCTGCATAGATGAATGGGGGTTTTATAAAACCTGTGAGGACCTGGAATCCATGTCTGGCACTCTGTGGTGAGAGGGTCAGAGTTACAGGATGCTGTTCTGAGACCTGAACACATTCTAGGGCATGCCTGTGGAGAAATCCCCATCCCTTGCTTCCAATGCTGGTATCATGGTCTTATTAATGTCTTCCCCACCTATGATGTAACTGTTTATCCTCTGCTGCCTATGGCCAAGAGAAAGCAGATCCCATGCCTAGCTGACTCCTTCTCTCTGTTCAGAGCTCTCTAGCACCCCACTGGAGCTTCAGAGCACTCAGTTCTATTCCCCAGCCTGGACACTTAGAGAAAGTTGCATCTGAATGGCGAGAGATGAATCTTGGGAGCCTAAGTTTAGAAAGTCAGGATTCCATGGATTAGGAGAAACCTACCCAGCTCTGCCTGTTGCCGGGGCAAGAAGTCATAAATATTTTTGGTTCGCTGTCTGGCTGGAGGCAGAGTCAGTGATGGAGCTACTTGGAAGTAAGGAACGTGCCCTGAAACACAGTGGGAGAATAGGTCAGAACACAGGCCATGGGGAACTCTCAGGATCAATAGTCCCCAGCAATAGTCCCTACCCTCACCAACTCTCATCGAAGATATATTTCCAAAGATATATTTCCAATTCAGCCAAAGGACAAGGAATTCAGTGGGCAGAGGCAGGAAGAGGGAACAGGACTCAAGGTCACCAAAGCAACATCTTCTCAACGGCACTCAGATCTATGCTATGGCTACAGATTAGGACCCGAGCATCAGAAAAGGACATAGGACTCGAGGGAGGTGGCTTCCCATTAGGAATTTCCCCAGGGTTTAAATGCAGGGCTGGAAGACTGATCCTACTGCAGCTTAACTGGAGACACACACAGACTCACGCTTCTTCTGCTTTCTCCAGCTCCATAGGATACAGGCAGCTATGATGACCAGGAAGATTGTCAGGAGTACCACAAAGCCAGGGAAGATGAACTGGCCTTTCTCTCTAGGAGGAAAACCAGGTGTCATGCTCCAGGTGGCCACAGGATTTGGGTTTGGGAATGTTGGAGATGACATTTCTTTCAGGAGACAGAACCCAAGTGATACCAGGGAGGCAAAGACTTAGATACAAGGAAACGGAGGGAAACGACCCTGGATCTTAGTTGATTCCCCTGATGGTTAGATGCCCCACTGTGGTTAAACATCCTTGAATTTGAAGTTAAGTTGTTCCTGTTATATCAGAAACCAAGGCACCCTGGCATTTTCTTATACATGTGCACTCAAGAGACTGATGTTAATATATCACCTGCATTGCAATTTTGAGCTCCTCCACCTTTTGTAGGGATCACGAGAAAAAGCTACTCTAAAGGTGAAACCATGATTTGGGAAGAAGAAAAGGTCACCTTACTCTGTGACTAAGCCACCTACTTCATACATAATCATACAATTTTCCTTTAAATCAACAATGCAGTATTTATTGCGCTGCTCCTTTTCTTGGGGGTGCTCACTCCAATCTTTCTTTAGAGTGATGGCTTTGTTTAGCTTTGCTAAGTAAACCTTGGTTTAAATTATATAAGTCTCTTGCCTGGATTCTCTCCTTCAAGAAGATTCCTCTTGAAACACACGGATTTAGAGTGGGAGCCAGATGAAGGGTGTCCTGGTGGCTTGACTGAAAATGGCTTCCATAGACTCACAGGGAGTGGCTTTATTGGAGGTGTGGCCTTGTTGGAGGAGATGTGTCATAGGGGTAGGGATTTGAGGTTTCAGAAGCTCATGCCAGGCCTGGTGTCACTCTCTCTTTTCACTGCCTGCCAGTCCTGATGTAGAACTCTGGGGTCCTTCTCCAGCATATATCTGCCTGCATGTTGCCATATTTGTGCCATGACAAAGATGGATTAAATCTCTGAAGCTGTAAGCCAGCCCCACTTAACTGTTTTCCTTATTAAGAGTTGCCATGGTCATGGTGTCTCTTCAGAGCAGTGGAGGAGACAAAAATCATTTCTGAGAAAGTCATCTCAGGGGGTTGAAGAGATGGCTCAGTGGTTGAGAGTGTTTGCTGCTCTGCCAGGGTTTCCCGGTTCAGTTCCAGCATCCACTAGTGTCTCGCAAACCGCTGCAATTCTAGTTCCAGTGGATTCTATTTCTCTAGTCTCAGAGTGTACCCACATTCACACTCAAAACTATACATAACTAAAAATAATAAAAAGAAAAGAACATCATCTATGAAGCACAACTTCATGGAGAGAGGAGCTTTGCACATGCGTAAGGGAGCCATTCCTCTGAACGCCTTTCAGGTGCTAGGGGGCTGGCATAGGATATTTACTAATAAGATTTAATTTTCACAAAAATCCTATTCTGCTCTGCGCCTAAGGATCCAGAGACTCAGAAAGGAAAAGTAACATAGCTGAGATCTCATAGGTCAGAAGGGGCAGAGACAGAATAAGAATCTAGGGTAGTTCAGGCCCAGAGACCATTCTCTTTCTGTTTTCACACTATCAGCAAGCTTTCAAAGCCAAACACATCTGGTCCAGCATCCCCTTGTTTCTGCTCCCCAGTTTTCTGGCTTGCTGGAAGAGACTTACTCAACCACAAATAGGGAGTGGCTCTGTGACTGAGTCCAGCTTCCATGAACTTGAGTAACCCCAAAATGTTGGAGCTGGTCTCTAAGCAACACTAGACTGTTGGGTGAAATTTAACCAACACTAGCTCTGAACAAGCTTGCGATTCTCTGGCAGACGGCAGTCATGGCTCTGCTTGGGGGTTGAAATGAGACCAGATGATTGCAACATCAGGCAGCCACACCCACTCTAGCAGGAAGTAGGCAGTGGAAGTCTGGCAGGAACAAGCAGCTGACCTCCAAATATTAACACCAGACAATACCTGGAAAGATCTTTGTCCTTCTGAGTTCTGGGCTTACTGATACATCTTTCAATTGGCCATTTCTCTTAGGTTGTCCAACAGATATCTCAAATCAAAATAGGGCTCCTATTCTGCCTTCATATATTGGCTTTCCTCTAGACTTCCCACCATCAAGTGGTACAGTCTAAACCCTTGGCATCACTTCTGACTGACTTCTCTTTCACACCCTACTTCCAATTAATCAGCTTTGCCCTGGGCTAGGGCATCTGCTTTAAGTCAGGTCACCTCTTGTTCTTCTACTACTACCTCCCCGGCATAAGCCAAGATGAGTTCAAGGTCGATTTTTACAGTGGTCCCCTCTCTGGTGGCCCTCCTGGCCGAAACTCTTGACCTCAACATATCATGCACACCCGTGAGCTAGTAGGATCACTGTACCAAGTAATTCCTACTGTGTCTCTTCACTGAGAATCTTCCATGGCTTTCCATCATGCTGACAACGAATCTCTAGTCTGTACTCAGTAGAGTTCTTTTGACATAATATGATCTGTCTTCTCCTGATTAACTTCCAGGCTCATTCAACCCCCCTTACCCCTGATGCTGACCACCATGACCTCTTGCTGTTCCTGCCCATCCAGATGAAGAACAGTTCTATCTCGGATCTGCGTGACTGAGTCCCTTGTTTTGTTAGGTCTCAGGTGTCTTCACCCCCTTAGAGAGATCCTCTCCAGTCACGCCCACCCCTCACAGCTTTCTTACTCAATTCTATTTCTTCCTCAAAGCACTCACAGCTTATTGATAGTGTACACTTATTCGGATATGTCTGCCATCAAGCGTTGCCGCCGACTGAGCCTCAAGGAGTCATGAACGTATCTATACTGTTCACTCAGCATCTCAAGCAGAATGATAGGAGCTTCATGAATTATTTGTTCCATAGTTAGTGAATAAAACAAATGATCGAACATGGAAATAGTTTTGAGAATAACACAGTCATTGTGGAAAATGACTTATGGCAATTATCCTAAAAATTAAAAATAGAATCACCATATGCTCTGTCAGCCCCACTACTAGAACTATAGTCAAAGCAAATGAAAACTGTGTCTGTACTTCCATGTTTATTAGAGATGTTTGTACTGTCATATTCTTTGCACCAAAACTCACAATAGCCAAAATAAAGAATTACCCTGATTGTCTTCTGCAGATAAGTGGTTAGAGAGAATGTGGAATACATATGCAAAGGATATCACTCAGCTTTAAAAGAGATGACGATCTTGTCATTTGTAACATGGTGGATGGGCCTGAAAGACATAGCATTAAGTGAAAGAAGCCAGGAACTGATAGATCCTGCCCAATCTCACTTATAAGCAGAGTCTAAACAGATTGAACTCATAGAATCAGAGAGTAGAATGGAGGTCGCCAGAGGTGGTAAGGGAGGGTTCCCAGAGATGTCAAAGGTTAGGTAGAAGGAAGAAGTTCAACACGGTAATGTTGAAAATAATGGATTCTTGAACATTGCTTAACGTGTTACTTGAAGTATCCTCTCATAAAAGGATATGTCAAGTAATACATATGGTATTTAGCCATCTACAACAGGTATGCATTGCAAAACTATGTGCTAAACATAATACATAAGTACAAAATTTATTTACTGATTACAACAACAAAGCAAATATCACTTAAAAACAAAATAGTTTTTAGGGGTCAGCGAGAGGGCTCCATGGGTAAAGGCACCTGCAGCCAGGCCTGACACCCTAAGTTTGATCACTGAGACCCATATGGTGAAAGAGAGAGAACTGATTTGTACAAATTGCCCTTTGACCTCTACACCCTTCTACCTCCCCCCCAAATGTAATAAAAAGGGAACTCATTTTAAGAGGGTGCTTCAGGCTTCAACAATAGATAAGCACTCGGTCCTCTTCATCTGTGTTTTGCCTGAATGTGACACTGATTTACTCTGGTAATAACACTGAAATTTCCTAAAACTACAGCAATTTAAAAACAAAATACACTTTCATTGGTTTTTTTTTTACTTAGATGAGAGCACTGAAATTTATACCTACTATTATTCCTAAAGTCTCAGCACCTGACTGATCGACACTTTTGTGTGTTTGAGATTGAAAACCTTAGGAATGAGTTTACATCCATGACTAGCTTCTGTAAGGCCCTAGAACTTTATGATGTCTGTTAATACATCTCTCACTCATGACAAGGACTTTAACTCCTTGGCCTAAAAACTCCTTGCTGGGGCATTAGGACAAGAGGCTGAAAAGCTTGAGGGCAGAGGTCAGGAACTCTGAGAGGAAGAGAATCCAGGCAGAAACTCATCTCTCAATCAGTTCCTCTCCCCTGAACCCCAGGTCTCCTTTCTTCCCTCCCAGCATCCCTCAGCAAACAGCTCTCAGCTTGAAGTTTGCTCCTACTAGTGGACCCAGGCCTGGGTTGTAAGTGTGGCAGCATTTCCAGGCTAGACCACTCATGTAGGAGATCCGGGGATCCTGGAGTTCACTTCCCAAAGCACTCACCCCTCCAGGCTGCCAAGACTCCTCTGATGAGTGCTGGGCTCTGAGTTCCTTCTGGTGACTCCTGGAGGGGCCAGGGTGGTGTACATCACTGGATGTCTGAGGGGCTTTGCAGCTTCTAAGCCTTTTCAGTGTCGTGACTGACTAGCCAGTATGGCTTCCACTTTTCTTAGCTGTTTCTAAGTTGCTGATTTGTAGGGAAAAAAGGCAAATTGGTATGTATTTTGCATAAGTCACTTTTTTTTCTTTTTCTTTTTTTTTTTTAAAAAAGTAGATAATAGAATGACAAAAAATTCTCTAAATCCCCATGTTTTCCAAAATGTATAATTTTGTACTCTTGAAATTTCTTATTTATTTAGATAGGGTTTAATGTATCTTGGACAACCTGGGGCTTGCAATATAGCCATTCAATGTAGAGTTTCATGTATCTCGGGGCAGCCTGAAACCTTTAAGTATCCAATATATATATAATATATATCTCTCCCTAGACTTCTGATCCTCTGCCTCTGTTCCCTTGGTACTAGGGTTCACAGGTGTGTGCCCCCACACTCATGTATGTGGTCCCCAGGCTGGAGCTCCAGGGCTCTGTATACCTCATGCAAAGGAGCCGTCTCCCAGCCATTCTTCCTAGATCATATTCACCACAGTTCTCTCATACAAAACCGGTTCCCCCCTCCCCGCATCCTGCCTTTTTGTGTTTATAACCCCTGTGTGAATGAGTATAAATTACAATTTGAAAAAAAATTATATGTATAGGATATTTGATAAAAAAACAACAACGGGTTTTTAGTTTTTATTTCCTCCTGAAGATTCTAATCTTCTGTTCTAGAACTTTCTCCCAACAAACTACCTTCTTTGGGCTGGTGCGATGGCTCTGCAGGTAAAGGTGCTTACTGCCAGTTTAATGACCCAAGTTTACCCCCCTGCGTGGTGGAAGGAGAGAACCAGTTTCCCACAAATTATCTTCTGATCTTCACACACACACACACACACACACACACACACACACACACACACACAGAATATAAATGATGGTACCACTACTACTGTTAACAATAACAGCAATAACGATAAGACCCAAACCTCCCTACCTTCACCTGAAATTCCAGGCTGAGTTGGTATAAGGTTCAAAAGCATCAGATTTGGTTTACTGGGGTGGCCACGATGCCCACTGCAGGAGACGTGCTCTTTCTTACTCAGCTGTTGGCGCTCCCAATGTGAAGTGGTGGGGCCACGCTCTACTTTCTGCCAGTTGATGGAAACATGAGGGCCCAGTGGGGGGAAGGGACTGCCTGAGGCCCAGAGGATTCGTGAGAAACTCTTCTTCCTCCAAGCCCCAGGGCAGTGTGAAAACAGCAAACCACTGTGGCAGAATGGAAAGAGTCACTGACAGGAAGCACCCTCCACCGGTGTGCTAATAAGGCACGGGGCACAGGAAATGCTCAGCTCTACCCAGGCAGCAGGAAACCCATCTTCAGCCCTCCTGCTCCCCACAGGCACCCTGGCATCTGGGGACCATGTGGTTAAAGAGTCAGAGACTTGACTGTTCACCCTGGTTTTCTAAGTGTTAAAAGCATCTAGGGTCAAAACTCGAAAGTTTGGAACAGTGTATTTGTGTAGCTATTGTCATTGTTTTTTGTTTTTTTGTTTTGTTTTTTTTGTTTTTTTTTGTTTTTTTTTTTTGGTTTTTCGAGACAGGGTTTCTCTGTGTAGCCCTGGCTGTCTTGGAACTCACTCAGTAGACCAGGCTGGCCTCGAACTCAGAAATCCGCCTGCCTCTGCCTCCCAAGTGCTGGGATCAAAGGGGTGCGCCACCACCGCCCGGCTTGATTTATTTTTACTTATTTGTTCTCATCACATGTGTTTAATGTGTCTGTACACATACCATGGCACGTGAGTGGGAGTCAGAGAACGCTTGGGGGAGTGTGTTCTTTCCTACTGTGTTGGTCTCAAGAATCAAATTCAGGTGTCAGACAGAGGCCAGTGTTTTCATCCAATGAACCATCTTGCTGACTCTGGTTTTTCCCATTGTTTTTTTGTTTGTTTGTTTGTTTGTTTTTGAGACAGATCTCCCTTCAAAGGCCAAGTTGGCTGAACTCACGGTACCCTCTACCCTCGTGTCTTAAGGTCCCTGGTGGGGTGCTTACAGGTAGAGTCAAGCTCAGGGCTCAGAACTGTTCTTACCCCTGCTTCCACTCCAAGACAGGGAAATACACATCCATGACTGTTCTGTATTTCACTACGTACATCAGGCTGGCTGGCCTCGAACTCACGGAGATCCTCCAGCCTCTGTCTCCTAAGTGCAGGTCTAAACAGCATTAGAGTTAGTTGCTTAGAGAGACATACAGATCTGGCACCTGCTTGTGGTTCAGTGGGTGGATCGGCTTTATAAATAGATCTTCTGCAGGTGATAATGCCAGAAGTGATCTGAGTTTCACACTCTGAGAACCTCTGTTCCGGTGTTATGGTGGGAATGGAATTGAGCCTGGGCTACAGGGCCGCTGGATGCTGTTTGTTTCTCAGGGCTTCTGGTGAGGGGCTCACTGTGCTGCCCTGGCTCTTCTGCAGTCCCATCCCAATCCTGGGTAGCCTCCCATTTCAGATGCTGGTGAGTTCCTCCCCAGCATTTACCCAATGCTCCCAAGCTTGGGAGAATGTTCCGAGTTTGTTTCTAAACCCCATTAAACCCCATTCTCTTTTACTTCACATGTGTCTGGAAACCTTCCTGGTGAGTCAGATAGAACCACTAAGAGTGTGTAGAGGATACAGGGAGCCTCTCTCACTACACTTGCCAAACCAGGAGGAGCTCCAGGAAAATGAAAGGAGTGGCTTCAGTGCCTTTGTCATTCTGCCTCTCAGGGACCTCTTTCAGGTGCACACTAGAGTCCTTGGCTTCCGGAGTCCAGACACACCCGACTTGTCTGGCTCTCCCAGGGTCCAGAGTCCTGTGCAGGAAGCCCTGCCATGCCAGGATCTGACCACCTTCCCTCCGGGGAGTCTGCTTAGTTAGAGACAGATGGTTTGGTGGTAGTTAGCTCCAGGACTGGGACCTTAGGTCTCTGCCTATATTTCCTTAGGATCAGATTTGAATAAAAACTAGGGTTCTTATAACCTGGTAGTGGTGGCTTATGCCTTTAATCCCAGCATTCAGGAGGCAGAGGCAAGAGGATCTCTGAGTTCAAGACCAGAGTGGTCTACATAGTGAGTTCCAGTACAGAGAAAACCTATCTGGGGGCAGGGAGGGTGGATGAGGAACAAACCAACAAACCAACCAACCAACCTAAGATTCCGCACTAGATTCCTTGCACTAGAGCCTGGTGTCCTCGGTGTCCTCGTGAGCAAGAGTGGCCTCAGGGAAGACAGGTGGGGCTGACCTCAGACCCCAGCTGGAGGGTAAACAAAAATCTTTTTCCTTGTGTGTGTAATCATCTCTGTTTGTCCAGCCAGCTGCAGCCAGAGCAGCCTTCCCTCCCGGGGTGCCATTCCAATATCCTGCCCGAGGAAAGCAAGCTCAGAAGAATTCTCTCTCTGGGCTGCTGGTTCCACACCGGTCTACTGCACTGTTTAACTTTCCTTCCACAAGTCAAAGCTGGCTAAGAGATTCGGATAAGGTGGGGAGTACTTTCTGAGAAACAAGGTTCATGTTTTAAACCAGATTCTTCTAGTGTTCCTTAAAACCTTTCAAAATTGTTTTAGAAGCCCAGGGTGACTTAGATTTTAAAGTAGTAGGGCTTGGCATATGCCTGGGATTAAAAGCATAAAGACTATTCTTGCTTCTTTTCTTTAGTCAGGGTCATGCTCACCTTGAACTCTCAACCTACCTTAGAATTCCCAGTGCTGGGATTATAAGCATATGCTGCCATACTAGGTTTAGATTGGCTTGAAATAGACTCAACTTTGTGTATTGGTGAGCAGAGTCTCCTGATGGAGGTGAGTGGGGGTGGGAGGGAGGTTGCGTGCTACGTCATTAATACCTGTAATGCCATATTCTTTTCAGATATCTTTTTCAGGAAGGCACAAGCTCTAGTTAAATCTGACTGGGTTCAGATTCTAACCACCCAGAGGATCCTCCTGGGTGGTTCAGTTGCTTTTTTTTGGGTGGGGGGAGTGGTGGTGGCATTTCCTTAGATGTAAACTGGCAAGAGTAAAAGTCTGTACATAATAATGTGAAAATTAATTGGTGCACTAATGAAAAATGTCTTGTTCTGAACTTCCAAAATACACACACACACACACACACACACACACACACACACACCACACAGGAGCTCATTAAACAGGGCCTGCTATGCTGTTACAGTGACATTAATCTCATCCTCTAACACTTAATGAACTATCCCCATTGTCCTTCACCCCACTGCTACTTTATTAAACACAGGGCCGGCCTGGCTCTATCCCAGATAAAACACCTGTAACCTCCCCATCCTATATCTATGGGGCACCGCTCCCTGGGGGAGCCAGTCCTTGGTTCTCCCTTGGCATGGTGTCTGGTCTAGATGGCGGTTCCTCTGTGAGTGTGTGCATTACACACAGGCCCTATCTACCTTCACTTTGTACAACATGTGCCCAAGTATCTTCATTTTATAAGCATTTTTTTCCCTTTTGTATGTATGTCCTGTAAAGTCATATCTAAAGCCCTGTGCTGGTCCTTTCTGGCTTGTAGACCTTGAGGTCATTGTTACTTTTTTTCCCTTGGACTCTCAGATTGTTAAAAACAAAATGTTTTCTTTAGAAAAAAAAATAATAACGTGTGTGTGTTTGTGTGTGTGTATAAAAGAAAAACCATGCCTCAAGAGTCACCACTGAATGAAAGAAATAAAAAGGAGGGACAGGACATGAGTGTTCCTATGAACAGTGGAGGAGAAAATGTAGGTAAAAGGGAGAGCATAGCCAGAGGCAGAGACATCTGGGAGAGTCCGCATGGATCTGACCCTTAGCCAAATGAGGAGATGGGGGAGGGGAAGGAAGCAAGGGGAGAGGGGAACCAGGTGCAGCAGCCAAGAGGCAGAAAAGGTAAAACAAAAATGTCTGGATTGTATAGAGAAGAGCTTCTGAGGGAAGGGCAGCTCAGTGTCTGGGCTGGAGAGTTTGGGGTAGAGGGCAGGGTGTGTCAGCCATACAGCGTGACAAGTAGGGACTGAGGGAGGCTGGGAGAACTGGGAGGCCAGGTCTGCTTCAGTATGTTAGTTAAATAGACACCTCAGCCATTTGTCTTGGGTTTGAAACTTAATAGCCATCTCTGTGAGCTTTCCCCTCTAAGGACCTGGGTCATCTTCTGGCTCTCCATGGCTCTGTATGTGACACAGAATGGTTGTAAGCATACTGCAGGGGACTTCTGCCTTTGATGTGCATCTTGACTCCCTGAGTGGTCTCTGAGACCCTTGGGACAAGAGTGGAACCTGAGTCTAAGAACCCAGAGTGACACAGAGTTGACTGGGCCTCTCACACATTTTCTTTCTTTTTTTTTTTTTTTTAAATATTTATTTATTTATTGTATTGATGAGTACACTGTAGCTGTCTTCAGACACACCAGAAGAGGGCATCCAATCTCATTACGGATGGTTGTGAGCCACCATGTGGTTGCTGGGATTTGAACTCAGGACCTCTGGAAGAGCAGTCAGTGCTCTTAACCGCTGAGCCATCTCTCCAGCCCTCTTTTTTTTTTTTTCTTTTTTTTCTCACACGTTTTCTTCAGCGTTTCTTGCTGAGTTTTTGATCCACAGCAAGACGGTATGAGACACTGGGGACTGCTCAGTGGCTTTTCATTCTTCCTGCTGTGATTGCAGGGGACAAGAGACAAGGGACTAGGGAGGAAGCCTGGGCTCTTGTGGCCAGTCTTTATCCCACAAAGGTGTTACCAGTAGCTCTTACATTTCCGGAAAAACAAAATGTCTAAATTGCCTTGTATGAAAGAATGAAAAAGAATCCACACCACGCTTCCTTTTTTGGGCGTTTTGGGGCTGGGACAACCTTAGATGACAGGGAAAGCTCCCAGGAGGTCTCCCTTCCCCTTTCATTGTTCAGACCCTGAGGCCATTCCAGTCAAGACACGTCTCAAGCAGAACAAAGACACCAAATACCTTCTTTTTAAGTTAAGGCTGTGAGAAAACCAGTATGGCTCCCTCCCTTCTCAGCTCCTGCCTCCACCCCACCCAAGACCTTTGAGCAGCCTGAGTAACATTCAGAAGTGAAGACTAAGGCCAGGCCTAGGGCGATCTCTGCACACTCACTAAGACTTGGACCCTGAGAGGGGCGGTGGCTGGTATTGTTGACTGAAGTTTCAAGGGCAGACTAGGCCTCTGCCTCCCTGGTTCTAGTGAGATTCTCTATTTAGCAGCCTCTACAGTGTCCCAGGAGACC